AGATGATGAAATAATGGAAAATCCCCTAACTATGGGAGAGGTGCTTAACAACACACATACAGCATGAATCATTAATGGAGAGAACAATACCTGAACAGGTGTTCGCCCATACTGTTTAGGATGACCTCATCGGCAGGGTACAGTTCCAGTGCTTGTTCGTAACAGTCAAAAAGGTCCTGAATGCGACCCACTGAGTCCAGCTCTTCAGCCCATTTAAACAGAGTGAACCTGAAGGACTCCTGAAAGGGAGATGTCATACACCCGAGTTCCAAATTTAAACATTTTGTGCAGCAGCGAAAGTGGACAAATGTATCTGCAATTGTTGTGACTGGTTATGTGTGCACAATGATTGGCAGAAAATGTACAAACACTGGTTTTCAGAATAGTGTAAACAGCGATTACCCTTGCAAAGTCCTTAAACACAGGTGCAAGGTTGAGAACAAGGAGGTAGTGTACAAACGCAGTTCCATAATCTTGGCTGAACAGACACTGCTGGGCACTTTCCAAGGAGCTAGAAACCAGCTCATTCCTGGCGGGGTCCGCTCGCCGTCGCCTTCGAGTTCTCCTGCCGTGCTTCGGCCTCGCGCTGGCATTAGGCATCCCTTGAAAATAAAAGGCACGTATGGGAAAGTCTTTAAGAGATGTAATGATGATCCAATATGTACAGATTAAAGCTGCTTTCAGTGCGGTCTCAGAAAAAATACTGTACAGAACCCCACGCATATAGAAGCCCAGTTCTGCCTACAAAATACTGCTGAACTTTTCTGTGCACTAAAACAAAACCATTCCTGTTGAGTATGGCTAAACAATTTTGGGGTCTAATTGTGTTTTGAGTTTTTTTTCTGGCAGATATTGCATTTTGATTAGCAGTGTTTTGTTTTGTTTCTAATGAAGCTTCAGTTCAGTATTGACTGTGTAATAAAAACCATCAAAAGTGTGACTGTCACACTGGGAGGATGACGCGAATTGTAAAACCATTGGCAGGGCATTTTAAACACTATGTTGCATAAAATAAAATCTAAATTGCAACCTTATAATTTGTTAAGTCCAGTGTTTTAAATTGCTATGTTTATTTGACATTAATTAGTTGTTTAGTCCTACTGCATTGCAAGAATATGGAAACCCATGTCTGACCAGAAAAAGATAAAAACAAAAATCTTTTCTATTTACTATGAACCATATAAAAAAAAAAAAAAAATGGTGAGATTAGTTTTTTTTAAAAATGTGTGACATCAGGTTTAACTTTGACTTTCTACATAATCATTTTAAAGTCATAAAATAAGAGAAAATGTTTCAGAGTGAGTTGACTAACCTGCTACAACATGAGTTTGATTTACAAACTCAGAAATATTTTGGTCATTCCAAATTTTTAAGCAGTTTTCCTAAAAAAGGGCATGCCACAGCTTTGTCATACAGCTAATATTGTAAGGTAATGATGAATAGGATACAACATGTGAATTAGCTAACCAACTTCACGAGGATACTTCCAACAAAATGCTCCTTAACATACATGATACATGTTTTTCGTTGACTTACTGTGTATTGTTTTGGACCACAGGCTGGAATATAAGGTGGAAATACACGAAGACTATCACTGCTGTTTAATTAGGTGGCGTTTTTAATTTTGCCAACACAAAAACATCAATATTACAGCTACGTCCAGCAGACTCGTTAGCATGGCTGGGGACAGTCTTTCTATTAGCTAGCTCACACGTTAGCTCGCACGACAAAAGCTATTCTGACCAGGACAATTTAATCGCATATAAAAAAAAATAACCGAATTTGTTCATATTCACTCTATAGCAGCCATCTCTTTAAAAGCAAGTCACATTTTTTTTGCTATGAATCTTTCATCCACCGTTCAACAAGAAGCGTGTCCGTTCGCTAAACAGCTCGGTAAGAAACACGCAGCTAACTCGACATGGTTCCACTAGTGCAGTTGGCGAGATGTTTTAAAAAAAAAACTTTGAAATTAAGAATAGGACAAATTCACGACAGGACACACGTCAAACAGTATTATAAGTATTTATTTACACATTATTCTACCTTCACTGTCACCGCCTCAGATTTGCTTCTGATGGAACCAATGACAGATGAGTGTTGACGCACACTCAAAGAGTACAAAACATCAAGATAATGCACCCACACAAAAACCCTACCCACAGCATGTCTGCAATGTGGCCCACTGGCAGATTAATCCATCTGATAACTGTATTTACACTCCACTGTAACCTTGGTGTGAAGTTGTTTTCCACCCATGATGGCTGATGCGAGTCTTAACCCATATCCATTGTACAAATTATCTGATTTCTGGGGTTGAATGCAGTGCAAGCAGGTAACAATCAGAACAAATGTATTACGGAAGTTTGTGTCACTTGGATGTTTTTGTGGGACTGTTTTTGATGTACTGAGCTTGTGCGTGAAATGAGAGATCCATGCAGGCAATAATTCCTCACAGACTTTTATAGTGTCAGAGATAAGATTATCATGTCAAAATCTCTCTCTCTTTTTAGGATGCCTTTGCAATTGGCATTTTGCTTTTATTTCGCACTGTAGATAAACTAGAAACACAAAAAATATGAGGAGAAAAGTGAAATATGATGTGAAGAAAAGTCCTCGCATGGAAATGATGAGTCACAGCTGTGCAGCGTGCACTTCACATCAACCTATTCTACCTAGTGTTGCTTTGTTCCCTCCTGAGCTCTGCTGGATGACACTTGTATTCATTCAGCCTGAGAGGACTTTCCATTTTGTTCAAGGCAGATTACAATCATTGATTATTGGTGTTGTTCTGCCTTGTGTCAGTCAGTCTGGGCACCTGCTGTCAGTAAACACAGGTTGCCTGGCATTTATACACTGCTGGTGTGGCTTATGTCAGACCATTTAGCTGTTCAGGTTTAACCTGCTGTGCTGATGATAGTGATTTGTTACTGTGCTGTTAGAGTGTAGGCTGTTCTCAGGAAGAAGCTTTGTTGTACTGATACCATCTACCTTTTTCTCTTGAAGTATTGTGCAGCATTAGCTGTTGGCAGGCCGGCACTTGGCTCAACACTGCAGCCAAGAATTCACTTTAGATTGCTCCTTGGAGACCTTCTGCTGCTCTGTTGTACAGTAGCTCCCTTGTCTTGCTCTAAACCTTTGCATGGCAATCAGCAGGCCCCTGGCTGTAGTTGTTCCGTCACCCTTCTGCTATTTCAACAACCCTGTTTGTACAAGCTAATTGTAAATCATTTAATTTTTAATCTTCTTTTGAACTGCAAATTGTACTGTATTTCTACCTTTGTGAATTCTCTAAATAACCTGTATCTCTCATCTTGTGTTTACAGTTTTATCTTCACCACAATTTGTGCCCTTAAATGCATTTTTACTGTAAAAAAAAAAAGAAAAAAAAGAGCTTCATGCAGCAAGCACTGGTGATGTTTGTGTACATTTGTTGTTGGTGCTGCTGATTCATCTTTGTTTCCTGTAGGATTTTTCTTTTTCTTGTACAAAAAAACCCCCCACTAAAAAATAAAGAAGATTTTCTGCAGAAAATGTTATCTATGAGTCAGTTTACTAACCACAGATTTCGTGTTAAATAAAAATATCAAATCTAAAAAAAAAACCCCACAACATTCTAAAAATGGTGGAAATGAATGAAATGCAACTTCAGTTCATTTTTCTGCTCGATTTTTTTGATAAATTGTTATTTTCTGCCACCCTATGTTACTACTTAACCATATTTCAAAGGGAACTAACATACTTGTCGCTCTGCTACACCTACACGAAAGCTGTCCTAGTTAATGTAAATTTAAATTTTAAATATGAAACATGTATGTTTAGAACATATAGTGCAAAACTTTAGGTTAACGAACAGAATTATCTTCACTTTCATCAACTACATCACCAATATACCACTTACATATTCCTACATCACTAATAATAATGTAATTATTGAACAGACAATATTTGAACACCACTTTTTTTGGCACATTGAAAGGTTTTACTTTACCAAATACATGGGAAAAAATTGAGACTTCTCAACCACATTTTGGTCATGAGGTGTGAGAGAAAATGTGGTTGATTCTATGGTTTACAGTATTTTGATGTCAAGAATATTTTGATATTTTTGAGTTAGATACTGATTTTCTAGTGACTTTGCTGCTGCAATATACAGTTATGTTTACAATGTAAATAAATTCTTACTTTGTTTTAAATGTACTCTTTTTTTTAAACTTTATGATAACAAGGCACTACCAGTAGCACAGTCATCTTCATATTAATTCACACCCTTCCTTTAAAGAAAAGGCAAAATTCACAATAGTCACTCAAATAACTAGAAACTGAAAAAAGTAATAAATAAAAATTTGCTAAAATATAATTTAGCAAAATAACACATTGCTTTTGAAATGTGGTTGAAAAAGAATAATTAAAGAAAATTAGAGCACTTTGCTGATGAGCAGTGGACTAAAATCAAAACACCTGTCAACAGGTGCAGAAGTCTGATTGAGAGTTACAGAAAACACTTGATTGCAGTGATTTGCTCAAAGGGTTGTTCAACAAAATATTAGTTTACCTGTCCCATCATGGGTTTTTTTTTTGGTTTATTTTTTAAAATCGTTTTAATATTTCTGTTGAACCACAACTCAAAAGCAATGTCATGATTTCCATTATTTTTTTTTATTATTACTTTTGTCAATTTCAACTTATTTCGATGACAGCTGTTTTTTCCCCTTTAATGGGAGAGTATGAATACACTTGACTGTATGTTCTCTAAAATAGGTGCAAACATCTTTACATTCACTGCATCCCACTTGTAGCTTCAACTGGAGCTACTTTATAGTGTGTTTTTGCTACTTGTAGGTAAACTAAAAACCCACAAAAGCCTACTTCTTCCACCTCTCCTCTTGTTTATCTCCGTTCTGTGCGCACATTGAAAGCAGAGGTCAGCGGTGAAGGCGCGGTGGACGTGACGGCACCATCTTGCTCCGGAGGCTCTTGGGCAGAAGTTTGCTACACGCACACAGATGTCAGCGGAGTTTCTCAATCTGTCACTTTGCTCGGTGGAGACCGTTTGATGGAGGAAGGAAGAAAAACTGGACCACTGCAAGCCGCCACTTTTCTGACAACTTCTTCGAACCGCCTACCCATGAATACTTCCCCCCGACGGCGCATTGCTACCACCCTTTAGCCGTCCTACCTGTTAGCTCGTTTCATTTGACAGCCGCGGAGCAACACCCATGCGCCCGTGTCAGAAGTTACCAAGCTAACAGGGCTAGCTGCTGAAGCTGCTGCTGCTGCTACTTCACGTAGCTATGTTTTCTCAGTCCGACTTGAAGCCTCCCGCGAAAAAAAGCACTTTCTGTTTTGGTTTTTAGCTCCAAAAGTAAGTGGCAGTTTTTTGGAGGGGGGAAGGGGGACCAGTTTTGTCGTTGCTTGAACACGAAGCTATCAATCTGTCAGAAATGGGACTACACCCGCTGGAATTCAGTGAATGCTATCTGGACAGCCCCAGCTTCAGGGAAAAAATCAAGGCACACGAAGCAGAGCTGGACAAAACTAACAGGTTCATCAAAGAGCTGTACAAAGATGGGAAGAACCTCATCAATGCAACCAAGCGTAAGTCTCATATTTGAATAGAAGTCTTACAAGTCATGCACTTGCCCTGGGAAGAGGACTTCTTCCTGGGTTTGACTGCTCTGATTGTTCCTTCAGGCTGATTGTGTTGATTAAGACTCACAGGAGAGACAGTCAGACAATCTGTCATGACTAGCAGATCAATACTTTTCCATTAGATTCAGTATTACTTTATGAGGACACGTGAGGAGCATAACTTTGTCCTCCTGAAACAGTGAGCCAGAGATTTTTTTATTTTTTTTAATAACCTCTTGGCGTATTTGCCCACACCTCAACTGGGTTAAAATGATTAGATTGTTATCTCCTTGAACTCTAATCTTGTGGGCTGGGCTCGTCTGTAAGGTGCCAGAGCTTACAGTGTAATCTCAAATGGACTGCAGTCAGCACCTCTTGTCTGCTGGAGAAACCTCATGTGTCTTTATCCATTTTATTCTTTAGTTATTAAATCAAAATGCTACGATACATTTATTGCATGGTTCAGTGTTTTGGCACCTTAACAATGTTTTTTTTTTTTAAATGAGCAGCAAAGTGTTTTAGTCCTGCATGAATGTAATCTTTAATATTCTTTTTGGAAACTATCATACAATAGTTGTTAAACACCGTAGGCTTCAGCCACCTCCCTGCTCCAGTTCCTTAACTCAAAAATCAAAGTGTTTCTTCTCTGAAACTGTTGCTCAGACCTGCTTCATTGTGTCTTTGTTTTCCGCTCTGCTAGTTAGACTCAGGTATGTCTTTCATTTTGCCTTCAGGACAACCTAAATTCTTCAAGGCACAGATTCAGCAAGGTGCTGTTAATCTTCCACAAAGATCTTTGTTCAGGCCGTAGCGTAAAGGAGTTTTACGCTTTTAGTGGCGTCTTTAGGGTTAATATTTTCATTTATTGTCACGTTATGAGGATTCAGTCACAGGGTTTTTGAGTTAATTGTATCATCAAGTTAGTTTTACTAATTGTTCTGGGCATATCCACGCAAACTTCATCCTGAAGTTGTATTTTTAGTTTAGCTATAAACATGGCATAGTATTAACTTGACACTGGGTTGAAAGGTCATGAAGGCGTTTGCCCAGTAAGCAGTAACGTGTGCAGCTGAGTTACATGTGTAATAAGTGCATTATGTGTCAGGAAAACTGTCTTCACACTCCACGTCTGAACCCTTGAGACCAGGCAGGTTAGCTCCAAACTGATGGTACGTGTCAAAAAGCTGTGAGGATTTAAGAGCAGGTGTCATTTTTCTACCCATCATTCATCTCCCTGTGCAGATTCAGTCTTGCTCTTACTGTAGCTAACATGAGAGGAAGCCGGCTCGGCCTAATGCACCTCCTTCTGCTTCATCCAGTACTTGACTTGACTGACATTCTCCTCTGACGACGCTCATGGTAAAAAAAAAAGAAAATCCCCCTGATCTGCAGCTTTATTACATGTCACATAAACTTTAAATTCATTCATTTGGGTAAAAATGTCTTGAGAACAGTTGAGTTCATGCTTTGTTTTTAATATTCCTTTCATCTTTCAATTTGTTACACCTCAACTAAACAGTTATTGGACATTGTCTGTATGTTTTCTGATTGATTCATTTACCTGCTGTCATGTCTTATAGGAGGATCATTTTCTTCCAGCTTACTTTCTAGCCAAACAGGAGTAGGACTAAACAATAAAACAAAATCAGATTGCGATTGTTTTGACAGATTTTGCGATTGTGACATGAATCAAGAGAATACTCGAAATATTTACATTTCTTTTCCACTGAAGCAAATATAAACATGCTATTGTACTTTTTTTTTTTTTTTTACTGCAGGCTGCACTAAAATAAACATGTTTACTTACATTTAGAGAAGATGATTTGTAGGCCGAGACATCTTAGACGATGGTATCTTCTGACAAATTTAACCTTTATCAAAAAGAAAAAAAAAAGCAGCTCCTGGAGTTTGGATATTGTTGCGATTTTGCTGATATTTGGAGTAATTGTTCGGCTCCTCTCAACGGAGCGTTGTGGTGAACTCTGGTATTCAAACACTGACAGATGAGTTGATATTGACGGATGGCTACGTTGGTGTAAACCGATGCGCCGTATCCCGTTTCAGGAGGACATGCCGTGTCTTGTGTTTCATGCCTTGTGGGACTGTGGCTAAACTATGTGTCACTTTCTTGCTGTTGATTCAAAGTGTGTCCAACATACTGGCCGTCAGACACTATCAGATGTCGAGCGTGCTAACTCTCATTAGGTCTGCGTTAGCTCATGAGAATATGACTAGGAATAGGAAACCCTGGTCATGCCCTCCCACTGGGGCTATTGCAAAATCAGTTGATGTTTCAGGAAGGAACTGATGCTCATGTTTCTATGTACTGACATTAATGAAGTTCTCGCAGCCTAATCCTCTTAGTCTGTGCTGTAGCCCTTCGTGGACGTCATTTTTCAAACTGTTGTCGATATTGTGTGGTGATTTCCTTTGTGATCCACTCACCCTTCTTGCTAAACAACAACAGCAGAGTAATTGAAACTTTAGCCAGCAGCTACAGCGAATTATTATAAAGGAATACTGCCCATGGCCTTTTAGATGTAATCTAAGCTATAAACAAGACATCCAAGTGAGGTTGTTCCCTACTGAGATAATTAATTTGAAGCAAGGTTAATTAAGTTGACCTGGGCTGAGTATCTGTCTTTAAATCAAGTCTGTGGTAGATGTAAAGCTAAAACAATTCAGATGTCATCGTAGATTGGCCCGAACCGCTGCAACAGAACCTCTTTCAGGGCTGAGGAGGAGAAGTACCTATGAGTACTCCAGGCTCGGTACTTCTCAGTGACCCAGAAAACCAGCTGTGATGGTCTAAAGTGATAGTTGGTTCAACAAAAAGTAGCCTTTTTTTTTTCTTCCCTCTTGATGTCTTTGTCGAGTAGCAATCTTCTCATCTCTATCATAACCATCTTCTATTTAAAATTTGCCAAAAAGGCCAACAAAACAAACATACATTGTTCAATTTCCTATCCAGTAACTGTTATTTGTCGTTGACAAAGTTTCGACATCGCAGTGGAAACAGAAAGACTGAAAGACCGTTCCTGTAAATGTTCAGGCCACCTCATACGTGTCCAGAGTTCCTGCGGTGGAAAGCAGTCATGGCTTCAACTTTAATAACTGATCACCTGTTTTGTTTTTTTAAAATTCCCCACATTTACTGCAGTACATTTTAGGAAATCCTACTTTTCTTATGTGATAATCAACTTAGCGTCTTTGGGTTTTTGTTGGTAGAGTCTGAAGAAGTAGATCTTTGCCTCTTGGAAACTTGTGACCAAACACATTTAATGAATTTTTTTGTAGAATAAATGATACGATTTTTTTTTTTAGTTAGTTACAGTCCCATGTGTTGTTCTGGCAGCATGACCGATAAAAGAAAGCGAATGAAATCTTGCACCAGTTTGCAGTTTAACCTCCCGACTGACACTCACTGCTTCAATTTCAGGACTATCAGCCTGATAATTTGATCTAATGTGGGATGGCTTAGAAGGGATTGTAGTCTAGACATAAATTTCTACAAATAATCCTGTACTAACACCAGGATTTTACCACCCTGTTCAGAGCCTCTATCTATGCGCTGTGGTATTGTAAAGTTCACAGTAGTCTTCGCCATAGCTGTGGAAGTCGTAAAATAACAGTGTCGTTAATTTACACTGTCAGGGTGGAGCTCGGCACCAGTCTAACTCTTATTACGTGGCCATTAGTCTGATAATCCGGTCTCATGAGAATGTGACCTTGTGTGTGGTTTTCCTCTTTATGGAGATCATACAAAACAGCAGCACTTTTCTTCCTCTGAATCTGCTTGTTTGTGGTTTGCTACTTTGAAGTTGATGGAGTGGGCTGCTTGATGGACTTGTGTGCTCAGATGGTTGTTTTTGATGAGAGGAGTTGATTTGGGGGAAGCTAAACCGTGTAGTCCTCTGGACATGATGGTCGCTATCAGCTCCGCAATAACACTCAGCAGCATTGTTAAAATGGTTTATTTAGCGTTCTGTAGTAAACATTGACCGATTTACTCTCTACAGCTCTTGGTGAATGCTGTGTGGATTCCAGGGTTGCATGACAAAATGTTTTACTTTAGGTTTGACCTCACAGTGACCTGGTTGTATGGGCAGGCCGAAGTGCAGTTGTTGATTTTGAAATGCACTCCTTTCTCAGCCTTTCAGTCACTCCCTCTGCTACTACAGCTGGGAGGATGTCCCACTACGGAAAGTCCTTGGTTCTGGGAGGAAACTTTGAAGCGGGGCCCTGGGCCGGAGAGCCATGACATGGAAGTGCCCACTAGTGGAGCAGCATGCAGATGTGCTTCTGTTTCAGAGGGTTTCCTCCACAGGAACTGTGTCCTGTCTCTACCCTCTCAACTACACCTCACTGTTGTCTTTAGCAAACACACTGATTCTCTTCTTTGCTCATCCTGAAAGTTTGAGCTTTCTATTTCTGAAGAGCTTGTTTGCAATCTTATCACTTTCCATCTGTCATCTTTATTGGATTTCTAATGCTTCTTGCATGTTCTGTTATTGCTGCAATAATAAGAAAAATTAAGTTAGACAGAGTTGCACTGGGGTCAGTCGTAGTCATTTCCACAGCTGGACTTCCTCTCGTAAATTGACCAACTGGTTCAGGAAACTACGTGAAAAATATGATTTGTGTGCGTTTTATTTATTTTTTTCAAACTTTCAGTTCCACTTTAAAAACACAGCCATGTGAAGGTCTCCTTCTCTTTGGAAGACAGGTTTAAGAGTAGCCTGCCATGGTGTGCTTTGGCTTACTGCTGCTCTTTGTAATCACATTACTGATTCTGCCAAAGAGCCACATCACAATCTTTCATTAAAATCGCATTAGCACAAGACGTGAAGTCATGTGGGAGGAACGCTTTTTATCTCTCACTCCACAAAGAAGCTTGCTATAAAAGTGTATTTTTTGGGCTCCTTTTTTTGGTGCAAGCACCTTTTGCTACATCATGAAATGCCACA